AGCAAGTGTTTAGGTGTCCGAACGGCTACCACAGGAGACTCGAGGATTCCTCAAGCACGCACGAATGAGTCAAAGCAACATCGTAACGAGCTCAAACAAGTTGATTTTGCATAACAGCCCTGATTTAATACGAGTGCAGAACTGATTCAAAGAAATCATGTGAAAAACACGTAGTTTCAGTTCATCGTCTGAGTTTGAGAAGTCCTCAGAAATGTTGCATTTCTTAACAGACGTTTTGGTTTTAATCATGTTTTTGTTCCTAGTTGTCGTGTGACGTGAAGTTGGACCCACGCCCTGAATATCATCGCTGCATTTTGACGTGGCATCACCAGGAGCCTCTGCCGTGGGCACAGAGCACAGGTACAAAAATCCACGCCGGCTTTTCTAAACAACATGGAGTGTCTGCTGTTTTCTCTCTCTGTCAGGTGGAATACGAGATTTCAATTCTTAAAAATACTTTATTGATCCCAGAGGGAAATTAGGTTTTATTAGAACTACCTTTATTTTATCTCTCTGAACCTGGAACTTAAAACTCTTAACATAATTACGTTTTGAAGCTTCATTAAAATCCATCCAGTGGATTTTGAGATTATTTTGCTAACAGACTGACAGAGTCGACTCCAACAGTTAATGCTGATTTGATCAAATATCTTGTAGTGCTTGTGTAATGTGTTATGAATGACTCTCAGCTACAACCACACCAAATTTTAGGTCCATTTCTGCAAAATTGCTTGAGTTATATTCATTTCTGTGGTTTCTAAGACCAGTCGGCTGTGGCGACCATCTTGACTTGGATTGATTCCAAAAGTTAATCAGGTGTAGATGTTCATCTTATGATTACTTTCTGCAAGTTTCATTAAAATTAGTTTAATGTTTCATGAGATATTTTGCTAACAGACACAGACATATTATATATCATAGTTTATGATTTGTATTTACAACATAAATTGCAGTTTTTTTTATAATCGTGGATTAGAAGAAAATATTTATTCTGGTTATAATTAATTTCAAATAGTCAGCACAGTTGATCAGAAGGGTCTGGAGCCACCTTGTGTGAAAAACAAAAACTAAAACGGTCTGACACGTGCTGTTCCCTCGGTCTCCTCTCTGCCGCAGGAAACCAGGTGAGCAGCAGACTGATGAGCATGCGCAGCGCTAACGGGCTCCTGATGCTACCTCCAAAAACAGAGCAATACGTGGAGCTGCACAAGGGCGAGGTGGTCGACGTCATGGTCATCGGACGGCTATGATGTCATCAGAGCGGGACGGCGGGACGGCGTCGTATAGCGCGGGTTGGAATGGGTGGTTCACGGTGCATGTCCACATATCATTGACTATTCTGTAATATGCAACGGCACAGCTAGTTTTTATTGATTTGGATAACGTTGAGGTATAGTCAACATCTTGATCACAATAGATACATTTAAAAAAATAATAATTTAAAAAGATTCTAGTATTTCAAACAAAGAAAGTATAACTTTTAAAGAAAAAAATAATTATAAAAAGAGATTTATTCTGTAATATATTATTATGATTATTCTTATTATTATCATTATTCTTATTATTATCATTATTATATTAAGGCAACTTTGTTCCTTTCATTGCAATTGCTTTGTGTGTTCAATGCTAGACCTTATCTATAGCAGTAGCATTTTAATAGACAGCTGTAGGTGCCTGCCAGGACAACAAAAAAAATGGAAAAAATGAAAACTATTATTTTCTCATTTTTAGTGAATTAAAAAAAATAAAGTTTTTGGAGAGTGAGGAAAACATTAGAGAAGGCTCGAGATTTCCCGGTGCTCAGTTCGGAGGAAGAAGGTGCTGAGCGCCCGTCAAGGTGACACTTCTGATTTTCTCTCATTAGTATGCATCATAATGGCTTCACAAAGAGCTTTGCTTGTTGTTTATCTTGTGAGTCTTGTTTATGTGCGCAGTGCCAAAATGCCTGGGCAGGAAGGAGA